TCGATAGCCCCGACGCTTCATCGGTGGGCCGATCTGTCTCTCCAAGGAACACACTCGCTGGAAGCCCAGTGGCTCTACGGCGCAGCCCTAACTATGAACCTAGCAGCACCGTTCTTGAGGCAGCGTCTTTTGCCAACAGCAATGGGACAGAGAAAAGAGATTCTCTCACCTCCGAGCGAGAGCTGATGATCCGACCCAGGTTTTCTGCTAGCCCTGCCCCTACGCAGGATCAAACCGACCATGCTGAACAGACAATTGAGAATCAAGATACTCGTCCCCTACAGCAGTTGCTACCTCCGCCGCCAACTCGTCCTTTCTTGGCAAGACTCTTCGGAATAGTCTCGTCTCATCGATTGCCTACTATGCCGTTTCTGCCCCTGTCCTTATTTTTCGTGAAGGTAGTTTCAGTCTTTCAGCCTTGTGCTCCCCTAGCTGTCAATCCTTGGGTCCTCTACCCCTTGCTTCTACTGGCGGGATTCATTCTGCGGTCCCGGAGTTTACTGGCACACTTTGTCGCTCTCGGTGTCCACATTGTCATCGTCAGCATCAGCATGCGATTCCATAAATTATGTCTCTGGCAAGCCCCTGGAGAGTCGATGCTTCTTTGATTGTCCATGGAGCAGGATGCCTTTGTGGGTTGAGACTCATGCTACAATTTTTTTTTATCCTGTGATGGCTTCTGCCAAAAGACTTCCGGTTGCTGTAAGAAGTCTATTCATTATTTCCTCATGATGTTACGACTACATAAGTCTACTCAGGACTTGATACCTAAGCTGTTTTTGTCGGACTCTTGGAGGGAAGACACATTATGTTCAATAGTTCTAGTCGAGCAACAAAGCGATGAATACGATGGAAATTTAATCTGACCATGTGTATCCTAAGAGCCAGCTCCACGCAAAATAGCGACGCCAGCCTGAACAGTCATGTAGAGGGTGAAACGTTACCGGATTTCCACATGCTCCAACCCATCAACCGTCCGTAAGTACTCTACTTGAGCACAGTACGTGCAGCTGATGAGCCGGGGACGAAATACAGTCAGAGAGCCCTCTTAGGCTTCGATCTTGGAATCTTCTCAAGACGATCATACCACTGGTTCAGATATGATCATGTCTCCGCCAGAGCTCCGGAGAGCAAGTGGCAGAGTGAGAATCCGATCTACACTCAGGAATATATCTCTACACAAGAAGAAGAGAAAGGACGAATGTTAATAGAATGGGTATATGCTCTCATGGCCATGGTACTCCTATGATTGCCTCATCCGCGCGGCTTTGAACTTGCTCACGCGCTTGGGGGCTTCATCGGTGTCGATGGGAACCATCTCGGGCTCGTCGTCCACGAACCCACCGTTCTGCTGAATCTTCCGGTTCCGCATCCTGTAGAACTCCGTCGCGATCTCTTTTCTGTGCAGCTGCTCGTCGAGCTCGTCTGGCTCGGGAGCGACGGCGGCTCCTTCTGAGACGGTTCGCTCGATAAGGGTATCGGCGAGTATCTTCCCCTCGGGACCTTCGGGTTGCGGTGGCGGCGACGGCTTTTCAATGATATCTGAGATTGGTTGCGAGAATGGTTTGGGTTGCCTTGGTTTGGCGGGGAAGAGAGGAATGGAATCTGGCGTTGGAGCCGCGGGCTTGCGAGGGGATGGGCGGGGGTCTGAGGCTCGGACGCCGTTGATCGGAGGAACGACGCTGGGTATCTCTTCCGTGGTTGCTTTCCTGGCACTCTTGAAGCGCGAGGCCTTCTTTGGACCGCCACTTGCTGCTTGTGTCTTCCCGTTCTGCTGGGTGCGTTCCACAACCGACTCCGCCATTGTGGGCACTTCAGGCTGCTTGGGTGGAAGAGTCTTCTTCTCAGGGACACCAGGTTTGGGCGCGGGAGCAATATCCAGCTCTTCGGCGAAAGCAACTTTTTTCTTCGGCTTGTTCCCCTTCACCGCCGTATCAACAGAATCGTCGGATTTCTCGATGCGAACAACAGTAGGCCGTTCAAGCTCCTCCCGAATATCCTCTGGAAGGGAAGTGGTATCTTTGCCCACGTTCCACAAGCCCTTGGCGTTCAACTTCTTCTCTAGCTCCCGCATCTGCCGATGATAGTCTTCGTCCAGGACAGGACGCGTCCTTCCAAATTCGTCTTCTTCCTCTTCCTCATCGTCATCAAAGTCATATTCTTCGTCAACAGAAACTTCGTCCGCATCTTCGTCTAGCTCAAGCTCGGCAACGACAGCTCCGACCTCATCCAAGCTGTATCGTAGCATCTCACGGCGTAGTTCTGCGTCTTCCGGGGGCTCATCGATATCAGTGACAGGCTGCTCTTGCGTTCCCGCAACCGATTGTGAAGATATAGTGCTCTCATCCTGCTTTTCGGCCTGATGATCCTCGGGGCCAGGAGTCTGGGTTTCTTCAGCCCCAGCCCGATCATTCTCAGCAGTGACAGGTGGAGTAACATTTTCCGCGTCTTTCGGCTTCGGAACCTCTGGTATGTCCTTAACACCGGCCTTTTTCAGAATTTCCAGGAGTTCTGGGGCCTGATTCCCAGGCGTAGAGGTTGAGCTGGAAATCACATTGCCATCCTCGTCGAGTTCCTCCATGATCTCCGTCATTTGAAAATCCGCAGTAGGTTCTGAGGGAAGTTGTTCGGAAGTTTCCAGCGCATAAAGCTGAGACTCTGCTTTGCGCAGCCTCTTTTCCATCGTCGCAACATTTTCCTTCACGTAGTCGATCCGCCTCGATATCAAATCGATAACTTGTCGCCTCGATCGTGTCACGCCTTGTTTCTCGCCCAGAATCACCTTGACTTCGTGTTCATTAACCAGCGACCCGCCGAAGTTGCGGCCTATGCGGAGGAAATCAGTTGTCGTAGCATTGTCGCCTAGATTGCTGATTTCCTCTTTCAATCCGTCGTATTCGGCCTCCCATGTCCGCCAATGATACAATGATTCCTGAAGTTTCAGGATATTGTCCTCGAGTTCGAGGCGCTGACGCTCGAGGTCTTGTAAGTGGCCGTCTGGCACGCCCATGGTAGAGGTTCTCAAATATTTATCTTGTAGGAGTAGATAAAACGATCATATAGACTTTTATTGCATCTGACCTGACGCAAAACTGACTGGCCAGAAAATTTGCTGTAGGTATGCTCAGATTTTGATGGCTGAGGCGAAGAAGACAAAAGAAGTTCCGCAGCGCGGAACCGCGAACCATGCTTCTGATTGGCCCGTCCCTCCAGCTCTTCAACTATCAGCTAGCACCGTCATCGACATGAACATCTATCTCTGCTCTCGAAACTTGCTCACATCTGTTGAATTCTCTAACATCTTATCGAGTGGCTAGTTTCATCTGTCTTTTTGATTGTAAACCATGCCTTCTGATCGCGATGCCCTCGCGCATCGCGGGGATGAAGATGGTAAGTAACTACCTTATGCTTGCCAGATTTTCCTACGATCAAATGCTGAATGCACCTGTGTAGAGGTCTGTCCCGTTTGCAAATCATCCCGCTACTTAAACCCGGATATGCGATTCCTCATCAACCCAGAATGCTACCATAAGATGTGCGAGTCATGTGTGGATCGGATTTTCTCATCGGGCCCTGCCAACTGCCCTGTCGCGGGATGCCATAGAACTCTGCGGAAGAATCGTTTCAGAAAGCAGACCTTTGAGGATATCGGAGTGGAAAGGGAAGTGGATATACGTCGCCGAGTGATGTCAATGTAGGTTCTTTAATGCTCAGAGTTCTTTTTCTCTGAGCTGCGCTAATGTCATCCAGTCTAAATCGCCGTGAGGAGGAGTTCGACTCCAAACGGGCCTGGGACGATTTCCTTGAGCAGCGTGAAGAAATTATTGCAAACCTCGTCCACGGTACAGACGTAGCGAAGACAGAGGCGGATCTCCAGAAATACGCGCAAGAGAACATGAACTCCATTCGGGCCAACCGCGCTCTCGAAGCCCAGGAGGCATCGTCGTTCCAAGAGCAGCAGACACAGGAACAGGAACTCGCACGTATCCGCCGGGAGGAAGCAAGGCAGGAATACGAGAACGAGCGACGAGAAGTTATCGCTGGCCGAGAAGACTATCTCGCCCGGCTTGCAGCGGGAAAACCAGGCGATGCCGCCACCATCGCCCGGGAGAGCCACAAAGTCCTCCTCAAGAAATCATCTGCGCGGCGTAGCGAGGAAGATCGAATCCGTCAGAAGCAGGCCGCCCTGCGCAGCTCTGAGCTCAAGAAACTCGCCCAGGCTGCCACCACTGCGGACCGCGCCGGTCCAGCAGACACAGGTCTCATCAAGGGTCTCAAGAAGATCAAGACCCCGGAGCCCGAGAAGGCCTACGATCCATTTGGCGGCTACGTTCCCAACAAGCGCGACTACTATACCCTGCGCGATCACTACCCATCCAGTTACCTCGACCCAATCAGACAGGACACCCGTATGCAGGCAGGTGGGTACGATTTACGGGAGTATTATTCTCGTACCCTGCTCGAGGCGTTTGCAGGCTTAGGATGCTTTATCGATGAAGAAGTATCTAAACGTGATGCTACGAGCACACTTGGGAACCCAAAACCTGTGGCCACTGAGGGGGCAGCAATCGCTGCTGTATCGAGCTCTAAGGTAAAAACATGAATGTCATTCATTCTGATGTGATCGCCAGCATGGGTGCAGTTTCTTTTTTGATTTTTTGGGTTGACCCACAATTTTGGACCGGAGTTCAGGCGGGCTATCTATCGGGTTGGATATCTAGATGGAGCATAGCGATGGCGTTTTCTGGAATCGATTTTTGACTTTTCTCCCTCTTCACCTCTCTAACCTCTCTACACTCTATATTTGAAAAGCGCGAATGTCATAGAGCCAATTGATTTTCAAACCAACAAGATAAATTTTTCAGTTCATATTCATTCAATCAGAAATTCTCCATACAGAAAGAGGTGCGAAGAGAGAGAAATTTACTCTGCCAAAGCTAAATGGAATTGCAGGTGTAATGTGTCATCATTATTAACTCTGCCTTACTAACCATAACAGCGCGCCAATGGTCTAGTGGTTAGGATGCGGTCCTCCCATTCCCCAACTGGGCAAGACCGAGACACGAGTTCGAATCCCGTTTGGCGCACTCTTTTTGCTTGAAAGTTTTTGGCATGGTCCTGACAATCTCCCTTTGCGAGACGGAACATGACTTAATGATTTTTGCGAATCATGGCGCCCTTGCCATCAGCCTGGCAAATGTAATATGCAGGGTGGATGGAGGCGAGTCGGACATGTCTCCCGGGAACCCTCAGATATCTGGCCACCACAATGACGAAGGGGGCTAATACTTGTGTATATATTTCCCCAAGAGTAATTGGATATCCTGTGCCGTTGTATGACACTTGCTTCCTACTCTGTGCATAGCCTAGTCCGAGCACACATAGAATCGATTACGTTTGTATATTGATACCCTTAATTACGCAAAATGTCAGTCGCAGGAAGTCAGTATGTCTTGCAGACAGGGCTGGCATCCGGCATGTCCGCTACAGAAGGACCAATGCACTCGCCGCACCCGAATCCCGTTGACCCCAAGATGAGCGAGGAGTCTTATGTGTTGCCCAGTGAAATCATACCAGACTCGAGGGCCCGAATCACACTGCGAGGAAAGGCCCACGATGTTCTAGTGCCATATATATGCATCGGTGCCTGGTCCTGGGGCGATAAAGCCACGTGGAAATACGATGCCGAACGTGACCTCCCGAGAATCCGAGCTGCTTGGTCGAGGTTGCGAGAGGTCGGGTTAACTTTTGTTGACACGGCCCCTGCGTATGGTGACGGAGACAGCGAGCGTATCTGTGGCCAGCTGTTCAAGGATATGAGGCGGGAGGAATTCATCATACAGACAAAATGGATGTCATGGCCCGACCCGACGAACGTCTTCCTCCAATCGCACGGCCCGGAAAACAAGCTCAGGAGCTCGTTGGAGAGGCTTGGCCTTGAATATGTGGATGTCTACCTTGTCCATGGACCAACTCACCTTAGCATGATATCGACCGTCGCGCAGGGCCTTGCGAATTGCGTCAACAGTGGGTTGGCACGGACCGTTGGCGTTGCCAATTATGATAAAGACGATATGATCAAAATGGCCAATGAGCTCGACAAGCATGGCGTCCCCCTGGCGATCAATCAGTGCGAGTACTCCGTCATCAGAAGACATCCAGAAGTTCATGGATTAATCCGTGAATGCCGCCAAAGAGGAATCGTCTTCCAGGGATATGCATCGCTGGGAGAGGGGCGCCTGTCGAACAAGTACTCTCGATTCTATGAGCCTCCGCGGACTTATCGTTTCAGTAGCTATCCCATGCACATGCTCGAGCCAACCTTGATCGTGCTTGAACGAATTGCTGAAGAAAGGCGTGTCCCAGTGGCTGCTGTGGCATTGAATTTCAGTATCAACAAGGGAGTTCTTCCTCTGGTGGGAATTCGGAGTGGTGAGCAAGCGGGGCAGGACATGCAGGCTCTAGGTTGGCGCCTGACACCAGACGAGATGCGACGGATTGAGGCCGTGAGTATCGAGGGACATACCACGGTACTGTGGCAGCATGGTTAGAGGCATTGCAATAGTTAGTACTTTTACAATCAGATCGCTTCCTTGATCGTTTTAAGCATAGAACTCGGACACGACAGTATAGTAGTCGGAGCTGGAAAAGTAATCAATGAACAAATGGCGAATTATTTCAATTAACACTGTAGGTTATGGTAGGCAAAATTCTCAACTGTGGGCTGGCTTGATGTCAGTCGGAGTCATATGTGGTGGAATAATAGGGCGACGATTATGATGTTGTTGCCCCGCCTCCCCTCAGTCCCGTCGTAGCACTCCCCGCATAACACCAAGCCCAACGACCATCTTCGCTCTTTAGATTCTCAAACCCACAAGTCTAGCCTAAGACCTGCTTGAATCTGACATCGGAAAAATGGAGCGGTCTAACAAGCCCTCAGCCATTGGTGTGGCCGCATCACTACCCCAGCCCACCATCACCTTCCGCGAGAACAAGATCGAGGCCACCTTGCCCACCGGCGAGTCAGTCACCGTTCACTTGTATGGAGCAACGGTCACCTCGTGGAAGCTTGCAAATGGACGGGAACAGTTGTTCATGAGTGAAAAGGCTCACTTGGATGGCTCCAAGCCTATTCGTGGTGGCATTCCCGTTGTGTTCCCTGTACGTCTATCCAAGATCTCCTTAACTGGAGCTAGACAGCAGGACTGATTTAATTCTATTTGATATAGGTCTTCGGTCCTCCTCCTCCCAACCACGCTACCTCTTCCCTCTCACAGCATGGCTTTGCGCGCAACTCCAACTGGGAGTTCCTGGGCAAGTCATCGTCCGAATCGCTAGGAAAGAAGGACTGTGATGATTCCGTCAAGCTCGACTTTGGTCTGTCTCATACTATGCTGAGCGAGGAATTCCGGAAGGCTTGGCCGTATGAGTTCGGCCTTTTGTACAGTGTCACCTTGTCCAAGGAGGGTCTGGAAACATCCCTGCAAGTGCAGAACAAGGGCAACCAGAATTTCGACTTCCAGGTTCTGATGCACACCTATCTCAGCATTGATGTAAGCTGCCTGTATCCTGTCACTGTTGCAGTGCGTTGCTAATTGCCAATGCCTCTCAGGATATCTCGCAGATCCGGGTTAAGAACCTCGAATCCAAGACCTACATCGATAAGACCCAAAACGCTACTACGCACACTGAGACTTCGCCTGCACTGGAGATCAACAAGGAGACAGATCGTGTGTACAAAGCACTGGACCCTAAGGTTCCCATCATCGTGGCATCTGTCGCTGACGACAAGCCTATTTTCTCTGTTACACGCGAGGGATTGAACGATATCGTTGTCTGGAATCCTTGGATCGAGAAGGCGAAGGGCATGGCCGATTTTGCCCCGGATGATGCATACAAGAAGATGATTTGCATCGAGGCTGGCTCCGTTGCTGGCTGGCAGACCCTCGAGGCTGGCGAGTCCTGGGAGGGAAGTCAGTCAATTCGCCCGAGACTGTAGATGCAATGGCCGGGTTGATCTTCTCCTTTACTGAATGATGATGATAGCGAACTCTTGTGATGCCTTAAGGAACTAACTTAAACAAACTTGCAGCCGAGAGTGCCCCTCAAGGCTCCAATTGAAAGTAGTTCTTGCTGGACTTATGCTGGGTTCCGCCCATTGCCTTGGATAGATTTCAATTGCTAATATTACACGTTGCGGCATCCGAGAGATAGGCATTCAAACATTCATATGGTTTTCGGGCAGCCTTCTGTCAGGAGGGTCCCTCCTTCTCTGTCTCCAACACGGCAGGAAGACTTTGCGCGATCTCGGCGCTGTATTGCGGCCCTGTGTAATCACGTCTTCCGCGAACAAACCACCATAACGCAGTCAAAGTGACTAGTCCTCCAGCAATAACACTCGAATAGTTCATATTGTGGACTGTGACCGGGAAGGTGAGTGGAAAGCAGAAGAAAACAATAGTAACGAGAATATAGACCACAGCCACTCCGTTCACTACCAAGCCTGTCTTCCTCCCCATGTAGAAAGGTCCAGGCACTATATTCTTCCGGCCTGTCAGCACATGAGGCAGAATAGCCCCTAGATAGGACAGAGTGCTCAGCACGACATAGGACGATAGTAGTGCCTGGAATGCGGTAGTACTGCTTATGTATATGCAACCCAGGAAACTCACCATACCAGCCATGGCTACAGTGGCCCGGATGGGATTCTTCTGTGTTGGATGGACATGACTGAAGTATGAGGCGAAAGGCGTTGCGTTGTCACGAGCCAGACTCCACCACATGCGGCCGCCGGTGATGTAGACTCCAACTAGGGTTGGAAACGCGGTCACGAAGAGCACCGCAACCAGTCCGACTGCCCCCTGCCGGGATCCAGTGGCTTGTCGGTAGATTTCTGCTGTTGGGAAAGACGAGAACTCGCTATGTAAGACAGCGTCGAGGTCCTCAATGGAGTAGAACAGAGCAATTAGGTAGACAAAGGTGGTGATAAAGGCAGTTAGCATCTGGAGCATCGTTCCTTGAGGGATTCTGATTCCGGGCTTCACAACTATGTAGAAAGCATTGTTACCCAGGGAAGTAGTATACTTAAGGAGCAAGATCACTAACCTTCTTCGGAAAGATGGGTGATGCAGTCAGGGACTCCGATTGAGAAGGCCGGGTTGATCAAACCTATGAGGAAACAAATACCATCCGACCAACCGCCGGTGTTGTTGTGATATCTTCCCCAAACCTCAGCATTGCTTGTATGCTTTCTCGGCATGACGGCGAGGACAATGACAGTCACCAATAGGCCACACATAGAGAGAACAAGGGCAACTCGGTTCAACATAGGGATGAGGTTATTCCCGAAACAAACCACCGCGCAACATATCCAAGCGAGCAGTTGGAAAACGATGAACACCTGCCACGAATGCCATTGCGAGCCGGGGTTGAGGAGCATGTACATGGTCACAGCTTCGTTTCCGAGCATGGAGCTAATCGACGCAGCCGACAGAAGCCAGGCACAAGCATTCAGGTACCCGGTCAGAAAGCCAACAAACCGTCCGTATTCTTGGCTCGACACCGATGCCCAATAATAAACTCCCCCGGCTGATGGCATAGAAGACGCGAGTTCGGACAGGGACGCGGATATGAGTGTATAGAATATACTGACAAGTATGAGGCCGTACAGTATTGCCATGGGGCCTCCATCTTGCAGAGCTGCAACGATCGTTCCTCCAGTAACGGCCCAGGCACTACGCAACATATCAGCAAACAGTACAGATGGCTGGCCTTGTCCTTGACCTACTTCGCAATGACAATACCGAGACTGACCAAGCTGAAGAGATCAAAGTGTCTTCTCAGCTCCTGCTTGTGGCCTAAGGCAGCCTCTAAACGTGCATCGTCCATCATGTTGGGATCATAGGAAGTATCCATTTGGCTGATTGGGGAACAAATGCAGAGGTAGAAGAGAAGTCCAGTCTTTCTTGTACAACAAAGACTGGTACACTCGATGTGCCACAGGTGAGTTATTCGGTGGCATGTGCTCCCTTAAACCACTTACCTTACTTCCTAACTCTTACCTCCTACTCCATGCAAGGAGGTGTGGCTGCCCCCATATGGACGCCACGTGGGTTGCATATCTGAAGGCTTACTTGGTCATCAAGTCGCCGATGCCATGGCCAGCCTTAGAATATCATGTTATCCATCCCGAGCATACGCCGCGGTCGGGATGGGATATGGTACAATTTGACAAGCTGTGGTATGATAAGATGAGCAACGCAGCTGAGAGCAGTCTCTCAGGACCTTTGACAACGTTTGGAAGTACTTCTACAACCGCTAGATGGGTAAGAGAACTTTTTGCTCTTGCGATCCCCACGCAAGGGGGAGCTGAGGTAGTATTTTCCTGTCGATCCTCGCCACTGAGTCTGCATTCTCGGGCATATTCATTGGCTTTTCGATTGTTCTCTGCTATTTCCATATCTGGGTAAAGTGACGAGAATACTTCCGGTGGATGCTGGTGGAATTCTAACTAGAAAGAGGACCTAATGCAGACCATTTCATGTCTCAACCACGTGCTGCTCGATGAAGTCCGTCTTCAGCCAACTCTTTCGCCAAAGTAACTACTTTTAGGATCATCAGCTTGTCCAATATTATCGCCCTTACCTTGGTCTCTGAGTTGTGAAAGTCACAGCCTTGTTTATATCAGTCCTTCGCCTGATTATTTAGTATGTCGTCAAAGTGACCGTACTTGAATGGATTTTGAGTCGAAAGGACTAGGTAATTGCCATGTTTACATATTATCACGTTCAATCGTACAACCTCCGAAAATCCACTAATTGCCAGAGGAGACCAGTTGACAGGGGCTTCGGAATCGTGAAAGTCACTCAATTCCAGCAGTTTCTTCGCATTGTCTCGACCGATCCAACGATACAAATCAACACCTCCAACTGCCTCCTGAATGGCCTTCGCACCATTATCCCACCAGCCACAGCCATTTTTGGTCATCTCATATGGGTAGTCAATGCTGAAGAGGACGCGGTCGGCGACTATCTCGTCCATCACATACTTGAGTGTCACCGTGGAGAAGTGTCTCTTAAAATAATCATAAACGGTCTTCTTGCACATGACTTTGCCCTTCCCTTCAGCAATGGACTTCTCGACATTCCTGGAACCAGTGGTTTATACGCCAAAAGTCAAAGGGAATGTGTTCTCCCTGATGAACAATGATAACTTTCGCTGTGGGAAGTCGGTCAAACACGCAATTGCTGATCAATCTCAGAGTATGCAGACTCACCCCATTAGCGAAAGATAGAGGTGGTCCGATTAAGAATGGACGCTGACTGTACAATTTTTCCAGGATCACATCGGCAGCAGCAGCAGTGTGGATATAAAGGGGAACGTCGAGCTACCGTGAGGACCTTCCAAAAGGCATCGTACTGAGATTGGTCGTAGAAGAGGTATGTTTCGCCATTCGGACCGGCATGTTGGAAATCACACAGCAAAGGAAGCCGAGCTTCCTGATGCAGCGGCGAAGCTCCTGGCCAGCCTGAACTGGATCATGCATTGACAGGCAGGCAAAAGCTCCCAGGCGGTCTCGGTGCTCCTTGATATGCTCTGCGATCCAATTGTTCATCAGAGTCGCTGTCTTTTCCGCCTCGGTTTTATCCACAATGCCCAGGATCCCAGGGACGGTCAAGGAGACGACTGTATACCCGATACCGTGTTGTGTTCGTTGGATAATGGGAGACGTTCCCCCCGGTGATATCATGGATTTGGCGCACGTAGCGCTCACGGTCCCAAGGAGCGATGTACAAGCTGGAGTCTCGCATCGACTTCTCCGCCAGGCCAGAGTATTCATATGCTTCCTCTAGGGCAACCTTTCCAAGCATATGGGATCATAAACCAGGATGAGATAATGCAATGAAAAACTGGTCTTGCTTTGAATTGCCGCAGTTGATTCAGCGGCTGGACGGAGACAATCAGCTTCGGCATTGTATCTCAAAATCGGGGTGATAGCCTGATGATGGACGACGAATCACTTGGAGCCCTCGTGCCGGCTAGAACAGCCAGTTGCATAGAGATCCACGAAGGGAGAGTGGCTCCCAAAAACCGCATGCGATTACCGATCACAAGGCTCATGGTATAGACCCGGACTCGATGCTCCCACTCGACTAGGTCAACTCTGAACATCAAATGGGTTGAGATGTTTTCCATTCAGCTGCGTCATTGTCGATGACAGCTACTGATGTGCAGACCGACTGCAGATACACAGTTTGATTCTATAATCGGAAACACGTGAAGGAATGATGAGACCTATCAATTGTCTGGTTTCACTCCTTCGGGCCAATGTGTGCCGACTAAGGGAGATTAAGTGACAGGACGATCATTATCTGCTGTTTCCATGCTAACCACCTTTATTCTCGTTATCGCAACCCTAGAAGCTCACAGCGTCAGAACACCAGGTGGGCCCGGCGCTCTTGGAAAGTGATGGCTGCTTCGACACGAGGAAGCGTTTAACTGTCCATCTGGGCAGCCACAAAGCCTGCGAAGCGAAGATGAGCTTCAGTTCTGAATCGAATTTGGTTACAGGCATTTAAAATCTCGTGCGACCATAGACCTACGCTGGAGCGAGGCGTTCGGAGGCGTTCTTCCAGGACTCCTCCACTTGCTAAACATACGCGTGGTCCTCGGAGGGATAAAGAATTCCAGAAGAGTGTGGCTGGAAATCCTGGCTCCTCTACTTGCGATTTGCAAAGAATGACTCTTTGTAATCTATCTGGGGATGGTGTACATGGTTCTGCCATGTCGGTTATTTGCCCTCTTCTTCTGAACAACTTGCGGAGAAATATGCCTTTTGAGATTGAATTCGGCACTGAAGCCTTACATATTGGAGAATGCGTTGGCTGGTACGAGACATGTACGAATGACTCCAATCAATGCTTGACCGCTATTTAGACAATTGGACTGAGGATGATTGAAGAAGTTTGATCTCAACCGAACACATACACAGCTATTGTGCATCACCGGGTGAGCAGTGTGAGCACCTGCCAGGAAAGCAAAGCGTGGAATAGCTCACCATTGAGCGTCCGAACACACCTCGAGGACTACTGCGCGCCCTATTTGCTTTAAGCTTGCCATTAAGCTGACCCTGGCCGTCTTGCGCAAGTCGTAAGGACAAGCGAACCCTGTTCGGGCCTGGGCACAAATGCGTCTCCTAGATGTTGTAGTGCCGGAGACGGTTCTCCTTACATACGAAATTACATCCTTGAATACCCTTGGTTTCAGAAGAGATCAACCTAGGGAGGAAAGCTCGCTTACAGACGCTTAATGGGGAACTATGCAGATGCTTCTCCAACTGGCCTTGGCTGCGCTTAACACGGCAAACGCATGTGATGGCGTTCAAGCACCTCCCTCACTTGAGAAGACCTTGGTTAGATGTGCAAGGGAAATAAGGACTCAAAGATAAATAACTCAAACATGATTCGAATGGAACGACAACAGTGGGTCATACAATTTTGTTGCTCGTGCTCCCCAGCCTGTCATCTTGTTCGGAGTCCCCGCTCGAGTGGCCGGAGTTGGGAAACATTCAAGCATTCTTCAATGCGTAAGAATGCACTCAAACAGTGTTGCTGAACAATGAGTGTTTCTTTGAGTGTGGATGTAGGCAATGGTCCTTACGACCTGTGATCCCAGCGTCCCTTGCGTTGAACTCTCCCTTCCCTCCCTTCCTTCCCTTGCTTCATCTGGGTCTGGAGTCTGACAAATTACCATGCAACAAATGAGGGATTGCGAGCTGTATCGTTTCAGGTCTGACACAAAAATTCGGGATGATAATGCGGTCAATCAATGTTTGGATACGCGGACCATTTGACATCCCTGAGACATCATGGCTCATAGTGAACTGGCTGATAGAGCTCGATCTCAATCTTTTAAACCAGTAAACGGCGATGCAACCTTGACATCACATACCGAACTGAAGCTGTTTGCTTCGGATGAGCAATAGCACTCATTGTCGGATTGCCCATCTGTTGCGCTCCATTGTCACGATGGGGAACGTGTCGCCCACTCCGCACCAGCTGCTCACGGAGTCTGTCATTTTCTGGAGCATTGCCACTGTTCTCTACGTTGGTAGAATGTACGTACATTGAGACGCCTTTGAGAGACAGTAAAGGACTGATCAGGCGAAGGATATCTCGTGTTATCTCAAATGGATCGGTCAAGCGCTTATACTGTATGCCCCGGTAGGTTTGCGCCAACCAGTATGACAGCTACTAACAGTAACTGGTGTAATAGTCGATGACTATGTCATGAGTGCAACGTTTGTGGGTTCTACCGTCTGCTCGTCCTCAATCGAAAACGGCTGACATGTCAATGATCCCATCCTAGTTGATCTATACGAGTCTACTAGTTCTGATCCAAATATCCGCCCGTTATGCAACGAACTTGATGGACCCAGCCGACTACGACAAGGTTCTAGCCAATCCTCAAGAAGTCAAGGACCGGATCATTGGTAGTAAGATCGTCATTGGTTTGGAACAATGCATGCTGTTCTCGACCTGGGGAGTCAAGATCTGCATGTTGACCCTGTTCTGGCGGTTAACCAAGAATCTCCGATTACATCTTTATGTCAAGATAATTGCGGTGTATGTTGCGGTTGGATTCGTTGTTATTATGGTCACATATTACGGCGTCTACTGCCGGCCATTCTCCCAGTACTGGGCCATGCCTGTCAAAGACCTGCAATGCGCGACCTACCAGAACTACTCCATCACCCAGGCTGTCTTCAACATATCGTCGGATGCAGCCATGCTAGCGGTCCCGGTCCCGCTACTTATTAAAGCACAGATGAAGATGAGGAAAAAGCTGCTGCTTATATGCATCATGAGCCTCGGCGTATTCACCATCGTGGCAGCCATTCTGAACAAAGTGTTCAATTTCGCCTCCCCCTTGACTACCACCTATCAGATTTGGTACATTCGGGAGGCCAGCACAGCCATTTATGTGGCGAACTTGATGTGCTTATGGCCGCTGCTCCGCAAACTATTCGGCCTGAAGGCATTCATATACGGAAGCAGGCAGTACCGACAGCAGGGAGCCCAGCCTGGCAAGGAATCCTCAGGCTCACAGTCGCGACCTTCGTTTTCTCTAAACCGAGTCCTCAAGGTCAAAGGATCCGAATATCGACGGGCTATCAAGGAGCTCATGCCGTCCGTTAGACTGGACGGACGAGAAGCAAGCAAGGAGGCAATCGCCAAACCATCCTGTGAACACCTGGAGAACTCCGCAGAGGTCCAGGGAATAGACTTGGACGGGTGGGACTATCAACAGGAGTGTATGAAAAAGGGCCGTGTGCAAATTGATCTTGAAGCTGGATCGATCAAGGATAACAATACATCGGAATCACGCTCTAGATCGGGTTCACCAGGGCGAATAGCCTACCAGGCCGGTGAATGGAGGGTTTAATCCTGAAAATAGAACGAATGGATTTCCAAGCATTGATCAGGCAAATAGTAGATTAACTGAACACATTATTAACTCCAGAATCACCCAGGCTAGGCCAAAAGGCTCATTCTGTGACGCCTGTCGCGATCCCTTCAATAGACCCATCTCCCGCTAACTAAACCGCAATTACATGACACATGAAATTACACAAAGAGAGAAAGACTGACCACCTAGTCTACATGAGAATTTCACCCAAATCGCCCTGCAAAACTGATCAACGCCGGTTCAGGAGGCACAGGCATACCCAAGAACCGAGGTCGCCTCCCATTCTCCAGATCCAACTTGCCATCATCTTCTACCAAGCTGACTCTGCACAAAGGACACGAGGTATGATATCTCGTCAGCCACGGATCCACACACGCCGGATGGAAAATGTGCTCGCAAGGAAGCGGCCGGACGTCCTCATCATCCCGGAGCTGTTCCATGCAAATAGAGCACAGGGTCGGATCCGGGGTCTCGCTCTCTGCCCCAAGGGCTTGCTTTCCACAGTGCAGTGTCCTCCATACACTGAGCTTAACAAGCGGGAACTGTTTATCGATATCGATATCGGCGAGTATTGTTCTTCCCAGGAAGTAGAGGCGCCTTGTTTCTCGCTCCCTTCTGTGGATCCGATATCTTATGGTGATAACTGCCCTAATTTGAATTAATCGATTCATCAATACACATGACGACAAGATAGATGACATCAGACCCACCAGACAAGGAGGAATAAAAACACGACGATCGGAGGCGCAATATATCCCAGAGGCGTTGCAGACGAGGTCGAGGACGAGGACTCGACTGAGTGATCAGCCATCCCAGATGACGAGAGGTATCATTGAACTGGACTAGGTATCTTTACTACCACAGTAAGATCGCAAATGCTACGCGAAGGAAATATTAGTGTCGCCCTTTGATCCAGACTTAGGAGTTCGCGGACTATTCAAGCAAGTCAACATCCTCATGGCCAAGAGCCAACCCCGCATCGTGATCTCAAGGACAAGAAAGAAGGTTTCGGCGTCTACATGTACAAACTACGCGAGCCTAGCCACGCTGACCACGGAGCGATCGTTTAACAGCCCTGTCGCACAGACTGGCGGCTAAGCCACGTTGAGCTCTGGGATCAGCCGTGTCACCTGTCACGGGAAAGCTGTACGCACGAATGGGAGTGTACTACCAAGGACGACGCCGTCCAACAAATCATGCCAGGATTCCGCAGATCTCTAATAGGGAGAACTGCATCCTTATCGATGGTTCTGGGGCAGGACGTCATACCCTGGCGGAGTCATGCCACAAAATCCTGCCAAGATCGTGCCCAGGAGTGCTGGTATGGAGGCGGTTGCTGTATATACTCTTCTAGCTCGAGGGAAGCGTCCGGATCCTTTGTTCTGTATCTCCGATGAGCTATTTGTGGAAGGGTCTCTGTGAGTTGGCGATGTACCTTACTGTCATCCAGTGTATCAAAGGTGGATCACAAAATATATTGTCAGTCGAGGAGTTATAACATAGGGATGCACACCGATTCTAGAAAAAAGGTGTCGAACTCCATTTACGTCGTCCGGACCTCTCTACATCTTGAACGATCACTTGCCTGAAACAGAGAAATGAATGAAATTCTATTTATACTACGCACTGTCCGGCCTGTTTGCCCCAATCCCTGAAAGACCACACTCAGACAGACCAACCTGAAAAACTGACCAGAGAAACGTTGTAGTAGCGGCTTTCCCAAGACGACTATTGCCAAAACAGGAAAAGAAAGGAGGATGGTAGATACAAAAAGGCAAAAATGAAACGCCAGCGCTATGCAAATAAGAATCACCCTGCATGTCTTCTCAGTGCTTCGTGCATTTCCACCCGAATATCGAAGAGGAGATCGTCGATCTCTTTCAGGGCAGATAGATTCAGGGTGGTTGATTTGACATCATCAAGTACCCTTCGTAAAGAGAATATTACGGCTTCTTGGCCGACCAAGGTACCTGTCTGGATGGAATGGGAAATCATGATTTTGTCGGGAGCATGATCGTTAACATCAGCGTCTGTCTGAGCAGCGTCGACTTGAGCGTGAGCGTCGATCGGTTCTGGCTCGGCCGCCGAGTCTGCTTCAACCATCTCGGTATCACCGGAGCCGCCAGTGCTTGGCTGTACTGACGTGTCAGGTGTAATCATTTCTGGAAGATTGCTGCCCTGAACAGATGTCTCCTGGGTCAACTCCCGGGTTTGCGTCAGATTAGGACCAGAAATTTCTGCTGCAGGTGTCTCCGTCACAGAATCAGTTGCACTGGTCTCTACCTTTCTGAGAGAAGAGCTTTCCAAGAGAAGCTCTTTGTGCTTGGCCTGTTTCCGGGAGCGCGCAGTACGTGGTGACTGCCTCCGAGACGGACTTTCTTCCGCGATGGCCGGTGGTGCATGACCCCCTAGACGGGAAGATCTCCGCTTTTGAGATGAAACCTCGGTGGTCCCCGAGACATCAACTGGGTCGTGACTTGATGCAATATGTTCTTGCGATGTGCTTTGCTCCTTTGCCGGTTCCAAGGCTTCCGAAATGACGGCGGCTGAAATATCCCTCTCACCCTTGGACTGACGCTTGCGTCTCTTTGCAACAGACTCAGCGGGCGAAGACTTGAGGTTCTGCGATGATGCAGTGGTCATGGATCTCGTGGCACGAGTGCTCATGGATTCTTGGTCTTCGACAGCAGATGGTGTCTTCGTCGATGACAGCCTCGAAGATCGACGCCGCTCTCGAGTAGAAGGTGTTTCAGCTGCGTCAGCTTCTTTAGTGTCCCGTTTCCTTTTTCTTGTCGTTTGTTGTTTAGGAGGTTCTGACGGTGCTTCGCTTTTTGGCTCCTCGTTCATATTCCCTGCAGACTCCAAGTCTTGTTCCAGTTGAGAGGCTACCTGAGTCTCCATATCATCGCTGAATGAGTCTGCAATGCAGTTCATATTTATGAGATTTTCCTCTTGATTCACATTGCCTTCCATGATATCTTGGTCTATCTTGGGCACAGACTCGGGGATGTGGACGTTTTCTGAGAACCCCGCATTGGCATTGTCAATGGGTTCTGGTACAGACTCCGTTTCCTGACGTGCTATAGGTGGTGCAGGTTCTAAAAGGGTAGACGCATCCGCGATCTGCTGTTTGCCCGTAGAAGACCGAAGACGGCGCTTGAGAGGCTTTTCCGATTGACCAGGCTCACCGTGCTTCCCTTTCCCGAGACCAGTATACTCGGATGTGACATTATTGACCGTCGTCTTCTCTTGAGTCGAAACTGCACGGATATTCTCTTTCTCTGCGTCTGAAGGCATTTGAGGGAGATCTGAAGGGGCTGGTTTGTTGCGTGAGTTCGGACTGAGAGACCGTATACCTGGAGGCGAGGACGGGGGATCGATATCCATACGAGAATCCATCACCTCTGTCGCTAGCGATGAGGGAATGGTTGAGCCGACCACCTGCGTTCTGCCTCTGGTGCCAGGGGTAGGGGAAGAGCCGAAGAAGCCATCCTCGTTCTCGGCTGCAACTGCTGGGAACGTAGGCGTCCGAGGAGAATGTGTACTCATGTCTGGGTTGCTTAGTGGACGCGCGTGCGGCGGGGTCATGAATCCCAGTTCTCTCGGAGTTTGCATAGGAGGCGAAGACGAACGAATGCTGTCTATTATAGAGAACACGTCGTTGGGCTTGCTAGAGCCTTTACTGCCTGTTGTGAAAGGGTCCGCCTCAATCCCGACAGTAGATCCGACATGTCTGTCCTTGAAGGGCTGTGCGGGCTGCGCGGGCTGCCGTTCGACGACATCGGGATTTCGACTCAACGGCAAGGCCGTAACCTCTCCTTCGTTCGTGATAGGCGACGAATGGAAACTGGGGGAACGAGAATGTTCGAATGTGTCATCTAGGATATACGAAATGCGAGACTTGATTGACATATCTACCGTTCCACGTGAACCCTCTGGTGAGACGGAATTGGTGCGTACGCCGCCCTGAAAACGTTAGTTCATAGAACATTTCAGACAGACTGCTGGAGTGCACACCTGAGTATTACTAGCTCGATGCACAGATTGGAGCCGGAGCAGTTTCGCCAGGGCACGAGAGATGACTTCAGGATATTCCAGGGTCTCCTGCGATGCAAATGTAGAATTCCAGAATTCTAAGAATCTTTTCCCAATTGATGTATGAGAGGATTCGAGCCCCGCACCGATAATGAGTTCGAATCTATGAAGACACGAGGCGTCATGGGGGGAAGAACTTTGCAAAATATTGATGACAGCTGACGACAGAGCACGGCACTAAACCCAAGTTAGTATGCATCTAAAAAAGCTCCCTTGCTTAGTACACGTACAGCTGTAAGAATCCTGCTTTCAACGCCACTCTCGATATTGAGTTTGCGTGCCTCATCTCTGAGCCAAAGCGCAAGGGATCCTTGGAATTTTTCAAGTAATTTCCGTCGAAAAGCCAAGATACCGGAGCCTAAAAAGGATGTCAAAGACTCTATAAAATCCGCGACACCGCTGGTCTTTGATGGATCGAATGCTGAGTAAGATTCTTGGAGTGTGCGATCCACCAACTGTACCAATCGATGTGGAAAGAATACGTCTTCTTTGGAATCGCTTGTAATGGCCTCGCCTTCCTTCGTGCCCAAATCGCTCTGATGGCAGTATGGGATGGATAGTGACTGGGTGAAGAGTGACGACAGTGGAAGATATGTGTTCCGAGCGTCAATTGTCATCATGCATTCAGCTAAAGGTTCCAAAGTCATCGATGCAATGGCCCTGTCCCCTTTCTCAGTTCTCATGACACGAACTAAGGCATCAAGAAGCTGATTCCATGCCGGGAAAACAGTGGAAAACCTGAGCCCTGTAGAGAGGATCTTGACAACATTTTCATAATCACGAATCACGGACCCATCTCGTTCGCGCGCAGATTCAAGCGGGAACGACCTTAGAGACTCCGCAGCCAGCTGCGCAGTTGAATTCCACACGATTTGAGCAAAGTTTTGGACGCCAAAGTCAAAATCGGCATCATTCGGATACAGCCGCGCACATTGCTGAAGGAGCTCCAGACGGGAGCCTCGGGATGTTCTACCTTTGCAAGCAGCCTCAAGCGTACCATCAACCAGACGCAAGTAAGAGGGTGTAGGTTCAGGGACCCCAGTCACGTCACTTATGAATCGCAGAAGATGTAGGATGGGGCTGTCCAAGTTAGTGTTTGCCCGCAAAGGATGATGCGTTGGCGTATTAGCAGCCTGGAAAGTCTCATTGGCTGTCTTCAGGAGAAGTTTCTCAGTAAATGGGATGCCTCCCAGAGAAAAGATCATGGTAGTGGACAGGAACCGAAAACGGCCAAAGAAAACATCCATCGAGTCGTCACCAAGAGCGTTTAGCGAGGAAGGACCGGCATTCCAAAGCCGTTGGAGAAGACCAAGCACGCTGGCAACAGCTTGCATGGATTCTGGGGATGGCGTGATCTCTTTACTTGAGGCATAGGACAGAGCCTGAGACAGGCTGACCCAGGCAGCAGCGATATTCGATTTGTCCAAATCATCAGCCCAAAGGGAAGTTCTGAAGATGGTTTCGAAGACATTCAAGATAATTGTAATTCTTGACCTCACCCATCTGCAGTCGATGGAAGGTAGCTCCTCAGGTTCGAGTTTCGTGCTCTCGTTGACTTTGTTCTCGGTCCATATCTTGGCTTGTGGGCTCCAAAGTAGGTTGGAAAGAGCGTGACAGAATCGATCGTTCAACTGAGGAAATGAGGCAAATATGTTCGAGGGGCCAGCAACGTACTCTTCCCAGACAATATCGAGGTGTTGGAACGTTGCAGACGGG